GGAAAATTACGTGGCCATTACACACGTAACCTCGAAACCAGATCGGTTCGAGTTAAACAATACGAACAATTACAGAATGAAACACCGTAATCTTGCTGCCCCCGAACCCAACGAGCGCGTCATTAAGGGTCATTAATAACCATTAAGAGGGCACTCGAGCATTTCCGGCCCAGGTAAAGAAGGACGACGATAATAATTCGAAACCATTAGACCACGTGAGTCGATTAGACAAATAACGCGCTAACAATGCACACGACGTTACTGTACCAGAGAACGGTTTCAGAGTAACAGGAACCCCGCGGATATCGTGTTTCGTGTGGCTCGGATTTTCCGTGGAAATTAATTTCACCGCGGGAACGGGGTAAGGTTGTGCAACGGAATCGCGAGGACACGGCCGGATATCGAAGAATTTACTATCGATTTCGTGCTCGCCAACCGAAAATCTACCCCCCGCCCCCTCCTCCCAATCCCTTCGTTCGCCCGTTGTGCAGGATCGAATTTCAATGCGCAGGCCAAACCAGGCCTCGAGACAAAAATCCCGACTACGGGTTCTTATATTCCACGTCGTGAATCATCCATTGGAATTTGAACACGTCTCCCAAGATATCTGTCACGTATGTGGCTAGCTCGTGTACACCGAGAGCCCTGCTACGCGTTCGATTCGCTAGTCTAGACGAGCTCCGCATAATCAGCTGCGCCCGCCTTTTTCCCACTTTATCGAATATTCTCTTTCCTTTAACCCCCATTCTCTGCAGCTACTTTTACACTTTGGCAATCTCGATTTCTACAACATAAATTAGCCTACCGAATCTTTAGACAAATCAGCGACACAGTGAATGATTACCAGAAAAAACAAAATGATCAAAACATGTATCCCCCTCCCCCTAGTTATGACGGTACATTTGACTTGTATCGATATTTGCAACTAAGTTAAAAGTAATAAAATCGAAAAATGAATATAAACTATTTTTTTAAGCAGATATTCACTAAGTCACGACCAATCGCAAACTTTATAGGAAGCTCGCAATTGGCCCATCTTTCTTACAACCTGTTACGAACTCCTAGTGAAATTTCGATATTTATGAGTTAAGTATCAATACTGGAATATATCTTGATATTGAATATCGATAGAGAATATCGATGAATTGAATTGAAAAGCATCGATATTTCCACCGATCACTAGTCCCAACGCAGACTAAATCACTGGAGGGCTAAGGTTATCTGCCCTCCATCGAAATCGTGATGTATACAGGTCTTCCAAAATGTCATCATTAAGAACAATCTTATATACAGATAAATATTGCGTGCATCTTGATCGTGTTGTCACAGATCCGCAGCGGTTACTTAAAAAAATATATCGTATAGTTCGAGGCACGCAAGCGATATTTCTGTCGATCGCCTCCTGGAATCCTAGATTACGATGTCGAATACTTTCGTAAAAAGAGAACTGTCACTTCTCCGGGTGTTGAGATTGCAACGCCTTGGCCAGGGGTTACAGATTTCCCATAAAGGCCGATCGTAACAATATTTCGAATCCGGTCAACCGAGGTGCACTGTCACGTGAAACAAAAAAGAAAAAAAACGACACAGCCTCGAGCAGTAGACTCGCCTCTGTTCTCTCTCTCTCTGTCTCTCTCTCTGAAGTAGAGAGAGGTTCAATGACCAGAGATAAAACGCGCGGCAGCGTGCCATCGTAAAATCGGAAACCAGCCTGGCGGTACGTTCGAGAGTCCCCGACCGGAAGACGAAAAGCGGCCACGAAGTTTTGAGGGCCGATGATATGCGCTCGTCCGATTATAAACGATCTCCTCGTAATGCAGTATTTTTAGAAATTTCTGCGAAAAAAAAACTAAAAATATTGTCTATCTGGACCATGGGAAATTATCGGCTCCCCACTAACGTCGAATCAAAACCTACTACTGGAGTTGAACGATCCCGTAACGAGTTCGACGCGTACGGTGATCCAGATCAATTTTCCTTGAGCGATCGAGTCTCGAACACTCGCGAGAAAAAACATGTTGATTATAGATCGATAACGCTCGTAAATTGTAGGATTGTCAGTTTAGTCTTAAGAATAAATTTCAGTTGGCAAAAGTTATCTAAAGAGAGAATTTTAGAATTCAATTACCGATCGCACGGTGAATACAAAATTGGTTAATAGACCGTTTTTGCAGTGTGAGAAATGACGAAATGGTCGTACCGGGGGATTCGATCGACATTGTTCCACTGTGAAACGTGACCTAGAACCGGCAATTATTTTGTTTAACAAACACGTCCGCAGGTGACGCACCGGAATTGACACGACGTGATTTATGCAAATCTCACCAGTGTATTACTCATTCGTAAGGGTTTTCTTCTTCCCTTTCTCCCGTATTTCATAGTATTCGGAACCGTGGTTACGGTTAATTACAGTCGTTGAACATTGTTTTGTTATATGTAATGTAATGGGCGCCGCTCACGGGGCACGCCCGCAGGCGAATGCTCGCCGCGCTGCATTTTGCATAAATTACGTGTACATATATATATATATATATATATACATATATAGTTGTTGAACTCGCGTGGTCGCGGGGCGTTATTGTCAAAATAATACGGGAGCAGGTTGCCGCTGCAGGCTTGATAAAACAAATAGACCCACGACACGTGAGTTGTATATATTCGACCTTTTCCTGAACTGAACGAGCAATTGTTTCCTGCGATCACGGGATTAAAATAAAAAAACAGATACAGGGAAAGAGAATCGCAAGGGTTGCGCCTGTGCGCCTCCTGAAGTGAAACGAGACCGTTCCGCGCGATGTTAATGCGTGTCGCGATAAGCGGATGAAAATAAGCTGGAAAAAACAGGTACATCGGAAAAATAATTAACGAATGTTTCGTTTCGCGTCAGGTTCAGAAAGCATGAGCATTGAACAATTTTTTTGATTGCCCATGTGTTTGGCATGATGTAATATCCTTATTTCAGGGTGTTTAGCTTTATAGCTTATTAGCATTTTCTGACAATATGTATAACAGTGGCCACGATGAAAAGATTCTTTCCTTCGTGACGTCTAGCCACAATTGATTCGTCTGCAATTAAATAGAATATACCCGCAATTATCGATCGCGGTCGTACTTAAAATGAACGGATCGTCTGTGATTGAGGCTCAACTCCATTGACAAGATACAACGGGTGGGTTTCAGTTGGAACAATCGCGAACTCCGTTCCGCATAAAGAGTTGATACGCGGTAATTTTGTAAGAAGGAAGTGAACGTACTTCTCGTCCTCCTCCTTCTCTTCCTTCTCCTCCACCGGTGAAACAGTCGAATAGAAGAATAAGGGTGGGGAGTTGGGGGAGTGGGGAAGAGCGAACGCGAAGGATGAATGCAAATGGAAGTCCGTGCCAAATGTACCGTCGTTTTTTTTATCATCATTTATTAAAAGCGTCAGGTAAGCGGAACAATGTAAATGGTCTCGTTATGAAATGCTCTACCTACGTAATCCCCGCGAACACCATTTAAGAAACGAACACCGACCACGATGAATGACACAAAAAAGTGCTGTGCTCTACTGATGTTTTTTTTGTGAAAACACTACTAAAATACCTTTTCAAGCGTGCCACAGGCCACAGGACATTTCGAAAGCATAAATCACGATAAACCAAACTTTCATGTCTATTGTAACTTTTTCCTACGGTGCTACGTCGATTAACACTTGGAACTGTGTTGTGCTAACGAGGCCATCATCGACGCTTACGCGTGTAACGTAGATAATAAACATTGCGAAAGTTTAAGAATTATTTCATGGTTGTTCAACCCTCCGAGTACGAACGTTCGTAATGTTCGTAGAGACGGTGGTGTCTATCTAGGTCCGTCTGAAACTCTATGCCTCCTTCTTTTTAAACATACTTTCCAACGCGATCATTAAAAAAACATTTGCTTTTTTTATACGACCAAATATGAACAACTCTTAGCTTAAATTCTATTTATAAATCGATGAGTTTGATATAGCTTTTAAACATTCGGGTCCAAACGGACCCGAACTTCCACCGTACTCCAAGAGTTAAAGGAAAAGTGGATTAATAAATTTTTCCGTACAGGTGAGATAATGGGATGAAGCGAATTCGGACCGTCGAATCGGTGACACGACAGGATGTAACGGTTCGACAAGCTGACATTGAGAAATTCGAACGATTATGGAAAAGAATCGGGCGTATCAGGGTAAGAGGTATCGGACTACTTATGGTAATTTAAAACGAGTTCGAGCCAACTGAAAATATGTCGTAGCGCATTTACTACTGGTGTGCCTAAGGCGTGGACAAAAGATGAATTTGAGACCGATGACCTTTCTCCTCGAGGAGAAAGAGAGAACGAGGGAGAGTGAAGAAGAAGCAGAAGAAGAAGAAGAAGAAGAAGAAGAAGAAGACGAAGAAGAAAGATGAGAGAGGAGGTGAAACGAAAAGAGATAGAGAGATATAGAGAGAGATAGAGATAGAGAGAGAGAGAGGGGGGGGGAGAGAAAGAAAGAGAAAGAGACAGGTCAAGAAAAAAATCATTCGACAAGGCTCCGTTAGTTGATCAAGCGCGAAGGCTATTTAACATTCCGTGTTTGGAAAGGACGCACTTACTTTAGGAATCGCAGATGTTCAACGGACTGGCAGTGCTAGTTTTCAAACTTGTTCTCGCTGCTCTCGCTTGATCTTTACGTTTCACGCTCCTTCTCCGGTTCTCCGCCTCTCCTTTCTCTGTCGTATCTCTTTTTCTTTGCTTTCGCGTGAAAACCTAACCGGAAAAGATTGTCGTATCCTGATACGGCGTTTACACCGAATGGCTCGTCCCGAGAACCGTCCAAGAACGGAAATATTCTAATCGAGGGATGACAGCTTGCACAACAAGTAGGTCATAAGCGGTACACAACGCGTAACGAACGGCGAGAAGCGACGGGAATGATTTAACAGTTTGGCCCGAAAGTGAAACAAGGTGCGTGGAACGCAATCACGCGTGTTTACGTCGGCAGAACTCACCTCAGCTCGACGGAGACTGCTGTAACGGCTCGTAACGATTTGAAACGAGCGCACTGAGTCCACTCCATGCTTGGTACACGCACGGCTACCGTCCTCTTCGCTGCTTTTTCCCTCGATTTTAATCTGTCCGGATGCTAGAGGACATGTTGGCTCTTGTTCAACGTGGATAAAGATCGTCGGCGTACACTAATACTTGATGGTCACACGACGCAGAGGCGCGAAAAACGCGAAAATCCGACGAATCCGCGGTACAACGTCACAAAATATGCACCCGAGTCGGCGAACGTCGAGCCACGACAGTAGCGACCGTCCGCGCTAAGCGGCTCAACTAAATTCACTAGCCACCCAAACACTTAGGGATATTCCCCCAACCGACGCTTACCCCCACTCTTGACAGTCTTAACGTACCCTTTCAAACGGGAGTAATGGCGATGTCTAACGGTCAGTACTCGTCCTCAAATAATAGTTTACATTCGAATGTTTAGGTCGACAAAAACCAATAACGACAGCTATTGTAGAAAAGTTAAGTTTATTTCTTGTTCACATACTTAGACAACCTTATTATACACAGTAACTGTGCGCCTTTGAATTACGCGCAGAGTTCTGGATTTGAAAGTACTATAATACTTCTTTGTATTGTCTGTATGCTAGAATTTGCAATAATTTATGTTTATATGTCGGGTCTAAAATATCGTACAGCCCATTTTCAAAGGAAGCAATGTGATTTTCGTAATATTTCAAAAATGTCCTAAAAGACACTGTCTTTGGAAAGTCGATATTTATGCGGGAACTTATCCAGTTTATAACGTCGTCTGATAATACATTGTCCACAAAAGATTTCAAATGATCTGTTAAGAATTTAGCACAAATCCTTGATACTTCAACGGGTTCAAAGAAATCGTAATTTGTACACTTATTAAATACCTGAAATCAAAAGACAACTATTTGCTTAAGATATCTTATCGCGTTTACTTTTCTGAAAACATATTTACTTACATCTGTCTCATCCATTTCGTAGTCTACGTCATCCAGCAGTGAAGTACTCCAATAAAAGAGAACAGTACACAGAAGTCCAGGATCTTTTTGATGCATACACGTGTGAAATTTTGAAAGAAACAAATGCAAATAAGAAGATTCACCAGGTAAGGAACAATTTACTGGAATCTGATCAATTAATTCGAACGCTTCGTGCCGTATTTGCGAACTGTTGTCGAGTAATAATTGTAGTACTGTTGTCCACCATTGAACCTGTGCAACTGTACAACGAAATTAATTAATATTTTCGTAATATATACATACACTAACATAAGGAAAATTGTCAACGTACAACAACCTTCGTCGCGTTTACAACATAACAAAAAAAAGTCCTGCATTATTTCTAGTACCGATGTTCTGAAATCGGCATTTAAAGATGCGATCCAGAAATTATCGCAAAAGCTATTGTACACATCGTCGGTGCATTCTAAGTTAATTCCCTTATCGTTTAAAGAGGCTACGAAAACCACGTAGGATTTTCCGAGTAATCTCAAATAAGAATCCCTTTCGGAGTAACTGTTTTTATTTTCGTCGAATCGTAATTTATTCAATACGAAATTGCAGACATCTGTTCTTTTAGAATAGCTCGATGATCCGAAATAATTGAGATGCATTAAGCTGTTGTAAAGGAAATTGAACATTGCATCTTGCAGTTCCGGACTATATTGGTAGAGGTCTTGTATCGAATTACAGATTACATCAACGCCATAATGTAGCAATAGTACCGATGCATCATTGTGTGTCACTTCGTTAATGACGTCTACAACAGTAGACCACGAAACAATTTGCGTTTCCGGAGTTGTTAAACAATGTAAATATATTCTGATTGGTATACATTGTTGAATCAATGACGTTTCCTTGGCTACAGATCGTACAAACTTTATAACAGACAATTTATAATCTTCACGTGCAGGTCCTTTCTTTAGTCTCTTGTAGTCTATTAAATGTGACACCTGCATGCACAACATAGGAACTTGTTCTGTCAAATACATTTTATCCACTTTACATATTTCATTGCAGACATTAACATAAACTGTACCCAGTAGGAAACAAGGAGTATTTGAATTTTCACGTTCCAAATTTTCTAAAATCCAAGTGGTTCTCTTTACAAATCTACTCCAATCTATACCAAATGGTTGACCTTGTTCGCGATTAAAGTGATTTAATATTTCAAATATCTGAAAAGAACAGAAACAATCACTTTACATTTCATGACAGTGACAAGATAATGAATATACATATTTCAATTTCATTCTGAAAGTACCTGCAACATATATCCATGTATTAAATTTAAAGATTGCTGGCTCTTTTCAGCAGATATTACATACTCTGTTATTTCCATTAAAACATTCCCCACAGATTGTTCTGTCAATAACGCTACAAGTGCTCTGGCTGCTAATTTTCGGGTTTCATATACTTCACTTTTAGCACATTGCATAACTAGCCCAACAAGATTACTGACCTGAAATACGTACACCTCTTTAATCATTAGAATTACTACGATATGAGCCTCATTTACCTTGTACTGTATATCAGTAGATTCACAGCTATGACTGAGGTATAACCGTGACAGTAGGAATAAAATAGATTGTACATTTGTCTTTATGATAGCATCATTCATTACTACAAATGATTGCAACTCGTCCAATATAAAAGGCAACAAGTAAGGATACTTTTCAAAAAATATTCTGTAATTCATTTTATTATCTGTTGTGAGATTGATATGATCTTTAGTCCTTTGAACACCAAAGATTCTAATGATGAGTGCGCTAAATAGTAATGTTGCCGCATTTCTTTCCTATAAATATGTTTGTATGTTATATTTTTTATTGTACTTATGAGCTAAATTATTAATATTCAGATATCGACATACCGCCCATGTTAAAGCGTCATAGCTCTTGAATGCCGCTATCAAACCATCTGCTACATAATTATTTACTATTTCTGCGAGATGAGAGTGTCGAAAAATTGCTCTTAAAATATTCAAAGCATGAGTTTTAATCTCTGTAAGTTTAGCGCTATTTCCCTCTACATGATGGCCATCATCAGTAGTTAAGGATTCGTATGTGTCTTCATATTCTGAGAATACTGTGTCCGTATACAGAAGATGTTTTATATTCTTCCACAGATCTCCGCTCTCGAATTGCATAAATCCTAACAAAATTTTCATCACAGAATCAAAGGTAGTGGTCTTTGTATCTTTATGTTGTCGGGGCTCTGTTGATAGTAATGCCTGTTAAATGAAGTTCCTATTAGTATGTAAAATGCAGGACCGTGTGACAGAAAACTCAGTCTCATTTACCTGTATCATAAGTGGTACACCTGCACTTCTTCGTGTTGCACATAATTTTGAGTTCTCTTCTTTAATTCCTGTGATTGCAATCAAAATCTGGTGCAACCACATTCTCGGCAGCTCGTTGAGACTGTCCTTATTTGAACGCCAAAGACGACTACAGAGCTGACTAAAGCCTACGTACGCTTGTTCAAATGCTCCTCTGTGCTTTGTTTCAGTAAGCAAAGTTACCATATGTTCTCCTATCCTAATGATCTGTTAAACCATCAGTTTGATTACTTTAATACTTGAAAACATGTCTATTCTACCGTGCTTACTGTAAATTAAGAAATTTTACTTGCTCTTCGTTCAAAAGTCCGGCAGAAAATGCATCTTCACATATAGGTGCTTTAGTAGCAAGAAACCCAAAGAGTAGGCTAACTTCCTTTACAGTGTGCCAAGAACAGAGGAGTACCATTTGCGGTGTTACCACTTGTTTTTCAAGCGACGAACCACATATTTCCTGCATAGTTTGTAAGTTAAGGTCCATTGGTAGATGACCTTCTGGTGAAGAATTGTTAACTATCAAAGACACTGCATCATTGAATTCAAAGCAGACTGATACAAGTTCTGCTATAGTATCTTCCCATAAAAGTTCATTCCCTGCTTTCTTTAAATTGCATTCGTGTAGTAAACTTCTAATGCAGAAAAGGTAACCGTACAAAGAATGCTTGGTTACTGTCATTACTATATTTTCCCTTGCCAGAATTAAGGACTCCTGTAAAAATAAAGCATTACTATCTCTATTAGACTAGTAAGTAATATATGTATGTATATACATATGAAGAAAAAAGTACCTTTAATCTTTTCAGCAGAATTAGTATGAATTGCAACACCACAGCTTCTGCCACATTTTCAGACCACTTTGTTACACCAAATAAAGTGTCAAGAACACTCTGTATAATAGGTGATAACATGCAGACTCTTAACATGTATGCAGATGTAATGCTATCAATAGGTCTGATACTGTTACCTAGGTCTATAGCAACTGTAACAAGATCAACAACATTACTTTTATTATCTAGCTGTAACAAAGTTCGATCTACTGACTTTATTAAATTAAAAGCCATTTCTTTATTAACTTCGTACGTGTCCAAAATCAATAAATCAAACAAGGCTTTCACTTGCTCTTAAGAGCGTCTTCTAAAATATGTTCCATCAGGCCCACATATGCACATGTTGCGCAGTGATTCAAAAACATTGCAGTATGTATCTATATCCTCTTCCAATGTATTAGATATTGCACGTGACAAATCTAACACTTTTTGATTTATTTCCAATGGGTTGCATTTCTTCTTATAATGTTTCCTCATTTTTTCTTCTTGAGAACATTGCCGTCTCATAACAGCTAAGCTATCCTTCATTCTCTTCAAAGCCTATTAAATGGAAAGAATGATATGCAATTGCAATAACAATTCCAACCTGCAGGTATCTTACCTTTTTTATTAGGGGCACAAACTCTAGTTTCTCCTTAAAATTAACACGTAAAAATAAAACAATTATATCCAGTTCTTTGGGCATGAATTTCAAAGTACTTTTCTTCGATTCTGTTACAAGTGCAAGTGCATTCAATTTGATCTGTAAGAAAATCCGACATTAATGTAATATTAAAAACTCAGAAGAAGTTAAATTATAAATTTATCTACTTCTTCGTCGTGATGTTGCACCCAGTGTTCCAGAGTATCATAGGTAACAGAATCCCGCCAGAAACATTTATCTTCTGGGTTTGATAGTTTCTCATCAGTGTCCAATTCCCCGCTACGTTTTAACACTAACAACCGTTTTAATTGTTGCTTTATCTCCTCTTGTTCAGGCATGTTGGATTGCGTTCGACCTAAGCAGACTCAAAACACTTGTGCATTGTTTGGTTAAACCATGAACACGTTGCACGAGTTGTAAATGGTGGGGAATCTTATGTACTAATTTTTACATACTGATTTTTACTACACGATTCACACACGTGGTGTTTTTTATCGACTGCCAGCTGACAGTCAACGACATTCCCTGCTGTAGGAATGAATGGAGCTCAATACGGTGCTGGCCTCTATTACCAAAGATTCTGCTACTTGGAACTGGTACAGCACACACGAATACCCATACTACTTATTAAATTTACATTCAGACTTTTGAGGTAATCAATAACATATGCACATATTTTAATCACTTATTCTAACCTGCGGTAGAACAGTACAGTTCTATACGTTCACAATTAAACACGCGAGGAAACGAAGGTCCCCAGTACGCACAGTGTCCGAGTCACCGAGGTGTTAGCCAGAAGGTAAATTTTATTGCGCTGATAATATCGATACTTCCTCGCACTTGTTCCTGGAATTGCATTCTACGATTGCATGTTGACCACTGCAACGTGAAATCAATTGCAGTAGTTCGAAAGATATAAGACACGATGTAACATACAATTTTATTAATTTCAACTCGAAAAGGCTAGTTAAACCGTGACAAGTCGTGTAGCCACTCGTAATGGTCAATGACAAAAAAAATCATTGGTTTCCAATATTCGCCGGAACTCGTTACCAAGTTGCTAGAAGTCTGCTGAAATCTCGGGGTCGCGGTGCACATGGAAATATTGATTCAAAAAATAACTGGAACCACTAATTTAAATAATTGCAGGCCGTGCGCCGCGGCCTGTACGAGCCACTCTAATAAATTGCGTTTTAATTAAAATCGATTTTCGACCTGTACACACGCAAATCAAACCAACCGGAAGCTGTTACGTCCATTTGGTACGCACGGGATGACGCTGCGAGAGGCTTGACACGCTAGGGGTACGCTGCTAATTTTCATTACGGTCGTATATTTGAAAAGAATCAATGTCAAGTTTTTACGGAATAATACGATCGACAACAACGGTCCGCCTGGGCGCATTCGGTTTACACCTTTTTAAATGGTTCGCGACTAATTTTAACCAGGTCGGTGTCTTATTGTGTAACTGACCTATACCGAAGCTGTCCGCAGTTTACTTCGATTTTCCTTTCCTTCTTGCACACCAGGCCGTCCTCGTTGTTGTTGTTACATAGTTAAATTAGAACGTGAATTCGAAGCGGCCAATCTTTCACAAGAGAGAATCAGCTCTCTTCCGCGACAGGTCTACAGTTTCACGGGTTGAGCAAACATTTTCAACGACCGTCCACAATTCTGCTCCAGCAGGCGAGAAAAAGATAGATTATTTCATCGTAACGTACGGCGTCCGTGCCCACCGCGTATAAATTGAGTTACACGTAACGAGCGCAACGATTCCTTGATATTTTTGTTTCGCGCGGGCGGCACCGAGGCGCGTGTGGACCGGCGGAATTTTTTAATCGTGAAAAACAGTCGTGCTAGTTGTGGGTGTGTGTACGGTACTAAAACAGGAAATAAAAATGAACGACCAGCGGAAAGAATGTGTGTTTCGAAAAAATTCGAAGGAAATACAGGGCACCAAGGGACAGAAAGAAGACGGAAAAGAGGTGGCGGGGAATACATAGTTCGCTTCTCGCCGCGGTGTCTCACGATAAGAGTCATAAAGCGAGGCAATGAGAGCTGTTGCCCCGGCTGTTTATCGTTGTACCTGTACGAAGAAACGTGACGTTTACCAGAGACCGACCGAGACCGGGCGATCCCTCTGGCCCCGTAATGCTTATCGTGTGAACCTTATCTACGCTTTCCTCGTGGCGGGCGAAACGTTTCGTCGTTCACCGAAAAAAGTGGAGCGTATACCTATAACGAGGTACTCCTTTCGGAAGATTGAGTTGACAACCTTGTAATCATATTTTTATATCCCGTCTTCGTTGAATCACTCTGTCGTCGTCGTGTTGCTCAATAATGTATGTATTACTATTACACGATATGGCTTTCGACATCCTGTTTTCCTCTTAATATTTCCACGACTACGACGTTGAACACCTTGGTTCCGCAATAACTTGTACTCCCTGCTGGTTTCCTCCGATCGCGACAAGGTACCCGCGGTGTGCGGCTGTCCGCCATTAATTTCTGTCGCGGGGGAAGATGAATCTTTCGGGGTTGCGCAACAATCGTTGTCTTTCCTGTACAACTGTACACTTTAATTACACGTCGTTTGTGGGAAAAGTCCCAGAGCGTTTCCGACCATTCTGCCATCCGAAGGTCTTTTCTCTCTCTCTCTCTCTCTCTCTCTCTGCAACCGAGAGACATTCTTGTGAACGTTCGTTTACGCTTCGTACACGAGATGGTATTTTACGTCCTGTTTTTCTCTCGACCGAACAGAAAGCCACGATATTATCGTTAATTGTGAGTGGTTTCGTTCACGACGTGTCTTTCCGGAAATTTTCGACCACCGCGCACCATCGAATTTAGCCTTCTATTGTTCAAGAGATCGCGAATACACGTTTCGTTTCGCGCAGGAAGAAAGTACAATCGCGCATCTGTGTATGTATACGTTACAATATGTACAACGTGGGATACATATTCCCCTTGTTGCGTACAACGGCGGAGGTGGTCACAAGCTAAAGTTCAAACCACTTTTGACGTTGTCTTCCCCCCCCCCCCCCAGCACCCAGTCAAATCCAATTAACGGCGAATTACCTGGCTTCCCGGATAATCGGCTGCTCCCCGCAATCGAATTCGGTGCATTGCACCGTCAAAAGTTTTGATTTCGACCCCCCCCCCCGGGCACCGGGGAGAAGATTATCTTGCGCGTTGACACCGAAGAATTGTATTCGGTATGTCGATTGTTGCGTCAGAATTTCAGAAGCGCGTTTGACGTACAAATCTAGGGGATGGTTGATCAACAAAATGCTTGGAAAAATCTGAAGGTAACAGGTGGCAGAATCAGCAAAGAGATACAAGTCTAAGACCAATGAGACATTGAATGGTAACGAATAATCACCATCCTAATTGTACGACACGTCCCCCGACCCTATCCTTTATAAATATTCGAATAGCAGAACTTCTCGCAATTTCCCTCGTCGTAGTCGGCGACGACGGTAAGTGCTTTTTAAACAGCACGGGGAACACGGAGGAGTGCTTTCCTAGCCCGAGGTCGGTTTCGCACCGCTTTGAGGAAACTTCGCGTCAGGCGTCAACTACACCGCGTTTCCGGGCCACTTGCTGAAGCAACGGAGACAATGCAAGAATTTACTCGCGGGGACAGCTACGAAGAGACGTATACTATACATATGTAGGTACGGCGCGTCCAGGGCCGTTTCTGTGGTGCAGAAAAATGGGTGGAAAGGAAGTGTTCGAAGGTAGTGAACATTAAATATTTCATAAACTAATGGCCACATGCGTTTGAAACAAGTACCTAGCATTGGCTTCAGAATTCCCAGCTCTATCACTGTGCTAAACCTCATTAAAAAGCCAGCGTTACTATCATTCGATACTCATGGTAATAATAGTTTTAACGTTATACATATGTACATTAAGGCACAACGGAACGTTTCGAAAGCGGCCAGCCGCGTTTCATTGTTCGCCGATAAGTCGACGGCGCACCGCAAATCACGGGGTGCAGCTTGTGTGTAGCACGTGTTGCACGTGCGACTGTCTGCGACTGATAGCCAACCGGGTTCGTTATTCGGGTATACCGCTGATTGGCCCTATGCATCCCACAGCGTACGTGAGAAAATTCTGGAACGAAAGGACGGACTGCTCCTCCAGTCCGTGTATCTTGGCCAAGTGAATTCCCTTCCTTGGCGCTGTGTACAAGGAAATTTTCCGAAAATCTGAATCTATCGTTGGACATGATGAGAGGTCCATTGAATTCCTTGTTTCACGATTTTAAACCTCCTTGGACGGATATACTGGACTTCCTGCTAAAAGAGTCGGAATAAGAGTAGAGGCGACCTGTGCTACGAAGATCCATCGTGAAAACGTAACACACGAAATTAACCGGAGTGGTGAAAATAAAATTCGCGACTTAAAAGAGACACTTGCGTAAAAAGCAGTAAAGCGGAGTGGAGCGAAACAAACGGGCTACGTGAGTTCTCCGGAAGTCGAAGGATAGAGAGAGGAAGTGCTCGAGGTCAAACGAATTTCGAGTTTCTAAAAGAGGGGAAGGTAAGTTTCCTCGAGATTGAGCTCAGGGGAGCGAACATCGAAATTTTCTCTATGAAAAGCTCGTTGGTGGAGTACGAGGCAAAGTTTTTCTAAGAAATCTATAATTGGCAACTGCAAATCCAGATTATACGTGGATCGACTTTTACCGAAATTGGCTACGCGGACCAATTAGAAACGGATTTACCCGTTTGTTCCCGACTCGAGTATATCCCCCGGAGCTCTGCGTTCTCGCGGCGCGAAACATCTGGGAAAAAATTCCCCGGCGAACGGATTAAGCGATCTCGGTTGGCGGAGAAGCTTTATTAAATTCTTGGAATGAAAGGCACGGATAAAAATTTCCTTTACGACGGTTTCACCTCGAAGGAACCACCACACAGCGACCTGCCAACACGGATTCTGAAAGCATTTTGCCGCGGCGAATGAAATTCGTGTGCACCGCCTCGCGGGACCATTTTTCGGGAACGTGATCATGTCGAATGATATCGGGAAAGTATCAAAAGACGTCTGAATGCCGATCGATGTTGCCCGAGCCCATTCTCTTCGGCTATTGATGCTCGAACGGTTGCTCGAATGCTTTTCTCGTTCGAATTACACAAGCGAGGAATATAAAAGTTCTCCGTGGAATGATATCTGACGGCGGGAAAAAACAGCTGATATCGGTTACCGTTCGAGATCCTCGTCTGTGCTCCGAACGCGCGCAGTTGCATGCGTCAATTTTCTTCTTCCTTCTCCCACTCCATTATCCATTCCGCTGGGTCAACGCTGACTCGTGGAATGGAAATTTTTGGAATTGCATCTACCCGTTGATTTTTTCTGTTTCTCCTCTCCGTGATCGTTTTGAGAGATAGCAAACCGCGTTCTCTAAATGGGCCGAATTGCAAATCCCGCGGCTCGACATAATGTTTGCGTA